AGCGAGAGAAAGACTCACCTGGCTAGATGGGATGTGGTCCGCCGCTCAGAAGAAATGCTAACATCCGAGACCTGAATGGGTGAGACAGGAAAAGGGGAAAAAATAGTAGTGAGAAGGATGGAGAGAGAGAGAGAGGGAGAGGGAGAGAGAGAGAGAGATTAGAATTGCCTGCCAGTACTTGGGGAGTGCAGTGGCAGGTGGCACCTCAGTTAACACAAACACACACACACACACACACACACACACACAGTGTCAGCGTATCTTTGTGGCGAATGTAAAGGACGGGGAGAAAGACGATGCAGTAGTTAGAAGCGGCAGAAGGGGAGTGGATGGCGGAGAGTGGCTTCCAATCAGTTGCAGATCTGAAGGAAGCCCGGTGCCGGTCACCCGGCTGGGGGTGGCAGAGCACACGGCAGGGACAGAGGACGAGATAGAGAACAAGAAGGGAAGAGCTTATCGGTGCACGTGTGTGTGTGTGTGTGTGTGTGTGTGTGTGTGTGTGTGTGTGGGTCCGAGCGGCTGTGTGCGCTCGTTGAGACAACGTGCTCATTGGACAGCACCCGAAAAAAAAGGTATCATGAAGCTCCATTTAACACACAGTGGGTACCTCAATGAGCTCCTGGACTTACAGACCACACTAATCATCCCGTTCAGAATAGGGTCAGTCCTGTCATCGGATCACTCAGAGGGAGTTAGTTACTCCCGAGGGTTTGGGTAAGGTAGCTTGAGGTAAGATGAGTCCCTCTAACTTATGAACCTGTCCACCACGGCGGTAATTGTCCCCGTGGGCCAAGCGATGACCAACACATTGTCGAGTACCACGGTCCAGGGCACTTAAATATGAAGCTTGACCTGCGAGCTGATATTATATAGTACTTTAGTGTGAGGCACAATTCATGGACATAAAATGTCTGCAATAATGTTGGGTATTATAGAAAGAAAGAAAAGAATCCTCCACCAAGAACAGTAGACAATCAGCCTGAACATCGAGGACTTTCACCAGTGGAAAAGCCTCCATCTTGAATGACGGCGAACTCATTCTTCAAGTCCACAACAATTCCTGTGACCATGCAGCCATTACACATGGCAACGCATAGGAGCTGAATATACATAGAAGCATGGCCTGAGGGAATAATTCTCCAGCTTGGGTCAGTTAGAGCAAATCAGATATCAATGAGCAATAAATAGAGAAGGACATCGTTGCGAGTGACTGGCCATTGAATGACTGAAGAGCAGGATCTAAGATCTTTACACTTCTACCTCGTTGAGGAAAGAAGTCACCCTTTCCGATCAAACACAGAATGTGAAAATCCCCATGAGGGGGTAAAACGCTTGTCTCCGTTTTATGACTCTTTTTAGTGTCTGCAGCCATCAGCCCGCTCAAACACAGCACTTTAATTTTCAATCCAAACTCATGTGTGTGCCTTTTTTCCCCAGTTAGGCCGAATCTTGTGCCCCTGAAGAGAAAGGGCTAATAGGATTAGACAAAACGCCACACAGGAGCATCAGGGAGGAGCTTTGGGTCTTAAATATACAGCTGTGTGTAAACAGCTGTAGCCATAGAAATATGACGCACACGGAAAAATGTGTCAAAGTAATTTTCACATACGGAAAGACTACATCAGTTATTAAAACATATTGGATCAAGCCAGAGGGAAAAGTAAACTAAATTCCCAAATAAGTCCCGGGAAATTGGATGCAGACACCCTTCTAAAAAAAGTAAAGACTAAATCAAATAGCAAAATAGACATTCCCTTTCAAATAAGCACAGCCATGGAAGCAATCAACCAACTGTCTCTGCTTGTGTGTGTGTGTGTGTGTGTGTGTGTGTGTGTGTGTGTGTGTGTGGCACGTTGTGTTGTTCTGTCCGTACGCACTTCCCTACAGAGTTATAGCACGCTGCAGACGCAACAACCAAGTGAGCAGCACAAAGCGCACAGAGGCCCCTCCGCTGCAAGGGAGCAGCTGAGAATAGCTGGACTTCTTTGCTTGAAGTTTCGATTGGTAGAAGAAAAAAAATTCTCAGACTGTTAAGAGCAACACACTTTACAGCCCCGGTGACGCATGATGCCGCCATAAGAAATCAGCAGTTGTCTTGGAGAATAAGATCAGAGGAGGGACATGAACCAGGTCAGGTTTGATATTGTGTATATTAGTGAGTTGATGATGGTATTTTTCAATCTGGAAGAAACAGTATTTTCAAATACTATTTTGACTCTTATGTTCTAGCAGGGAAAGGTTTATTCATTGAAGGAAAACGCGTGGGAATTAAACTATGCGATCCGATTAGATTTAAATCAAGTTAGTCAAGAAAAAGGAAGAAGACAGAAATGTGGAAACCTAAACCGGTTAATGTCTGCATCGGCGAAATCCCCAAAATGAGATTCAGAAATGAAATTGTCCGCAATCGGAAGGGGACATCAACATCCAGGGCAACAACGTGTGGATTTATTACGATGGATAATTAGCAGCAGGCAATATTCTTCTCATGTTGACAAATGACGACAGAAAAAGTCAAACATTCACTTTGTTTACAGAAGACAAGTGGAACTTCTCGTCATTTGCATTTCTGTCATCAATTAATATTGTTACCATAAGTCAGACGCCTGGTAAGAAAACCAAAAAGACAAAAAGAGGCTCTTGAGTGGCTGCGGTTTGAGCGACGCAGACGGATGAGACGTTGGGAAAACAACCGCTATCAATCACTCCAATTATACTGTTGGTACAACAAGTTCATTAATCGTTTTAAATGGATGGTGACTTAATCAGTGTGTGGTTCTCAATCACAATGTAATAAATGGACCTGATGTTGTTTGAGTTATTGTGGCATTATTTACTACTGTAGACAAATACTCCGATATTTTTTATGAAAATAGTTCGGGGCCATTCTTCATGATTTTTTATAGTGGCTTCGTTTAAATGGGTTATTTGTAAATGATCACATACTTTCAGAAGAAGGTTAACTTGTTGTTTGAATATGATTTACAGTTTGGGAAAATGATTCTGGGTGATGGTATAAAAACTGTGAGACCATAATTATTCCAGTTGTTAAAGAATTATATGAATCAATGCGTGATAAGTGGAGCCATCGTCAGTTCAAAGCAGCTTTTCTTTGAACCGCCTTCCAAAAGTAGACCGTTGTGTTTTTTCTACACAGTAGTGAAATACTACATGACTCATGATATCACAACAAATACTGCATCCATAGTGTGTACGTTTTAGAAGGATACAACATCGTACTGAAGCTCTGTGGCTCTTCAGACAAGTGTTTCCAACGCAGACGACCAAAACAACCCCTACTTTGCATTCGTAAATGGAAAAAGAAAAAGGAATCAACCGGGGGATTAAAAAGAAAGAGAAAGAGAGGGAAACTCTTTTTTGGAGCCGTTTTAGCACCAAATTATGGAAGCTGATTTCCTCTTCCTGCTGAACCCATTCCATTTATTGTCATCGTGAAGGGAAAAAAAGGAAGAAAATAGTAAAAGCAATAACGTAGCCACACCCACACATTAAAGAATAAATGTCCTTGCTCAAAATTAGATTTCCTCTCCCCCTCTCTCTCTCGTCGCTTCCCCGCGGTCGTGTTCTCTCTGCCTCAGCGGCCTTCATCAACAGCCACGGCGAAAGAGAAGCCGCCATATGTGTCGGCCCATGAAAGCGATCGCCCCGATCGGCGTCAGACGTCTCAGATGGCGGCGCTCTTTGCACCAGAGCAAGCGTTTTCACAGCTTCTTTCTGTACGGGCGAGCGTGGGCTGCAACATAAACAGCACCGCTCAATTATGCCGCTAGTGAACATTCGCTAGCCTGTGATCTGACACACAAACACACCATGTGCACACATACCTATAGTGCACACACACACACACACACACATGGAGACACATAGGGAGAGCTTATGCTTTCTCGCAGTCGTTGCAGTGTAGGTGATCTGTAAACTGTAAATTCTGTGGAACAGGCTCGCAATCGGTGTCGTTCTTCTTACTCGCCAACTTGATCAGCGGGAGTCTTAAAGAGCGGCCATGTTTACGACAGGACCGTTTATTCTGGACAAGGAGGAAGACCAGCTCATCGGTATGTTTGATGAATGGTTGTATATTTGATTTACAGCATTGTAGGCCAACTATTATCTGAATGTCATTTGAATTATGAGACTATTTTCTGGATATTGACTACTGAAAAATAAATGTTCACTTCCATCTCAGGAGAGCCTTGTATTAGTGGTATACACAAAATATACAACAAAATGTACCTGCGTGCTCAAAGCTGGAAACTGGGAGCAAGCAGGGAGGCAAACTGCAACGTTCCACTAGAACATTAATCAATTAGACAACTTCTTTTGTTCAAAAACATATTGTTGCTTTTAAACCATGTTGGTGGCCCATGCAAGCCCAAACGCAAAAACCCTTTTCCCAAAGCTATTTGCTTTACTTTGCCATGAAGAGTCTCGGGTGAGTTTTCAATCCCATAAACAAACTGGCGTTTCGCATGTCAAGAATAAACTCGACTTAATTGGTTGTGGGAGGCGGACGAGGCAGAGTGGATTTTGGATTGAAAGCGGGCGCTCTGGCCTCCGTCCTCAAAGACCCGTTCCATGGCGGACATTTTGTCTGGCCACAGTATGAGACGCACAGGTGCAATAAGTAAGATGAACGGTAGATGGATTCCATCCAGCTGCTACGGCTCCAGGGTGCCGTCACTGTTACTGTACATGCGTGATCACCGTAACACAGTTGTGATTTTCCGTCGACTTGGTCAGCGAGTTCGAACAACCAATTTGCCAAAACCAATGCCAATTACAACACTTTGATGCTGCTGCTGTTGTTCTTAGTGATATTTGGAATGAAAGAAACAAAACCACCAGCTACGTTGACCTATGACATTTTGAAATACGGTCTCGGTCTGCCGGGTTGAAATGAAAATCATGCACAAAGTCTATTGTATTCACGGCTCCACTGGGCTTTACCGTGTGTGTGTGTGTGTGTGCGTGTGTGTGTGTGTGTGTGAGCATGTGTTTGTGAGGTGCCGGTCGAGGGAAGGGGTGGGGGGGTTGCAGTGGGTGGTGATGAGCA